CCGGGGAAGACGTAACTCGACACGGAAATGGAGGTTTTTTTTTTTTGTTTAATTTGACCAAAGGGTGTGTGGAGGGGAAGGGGAGCCCAACCCTCTGCAGATGGTCCTTGCAATGTCACAAGGTTTAAAAAAAAAAAAGGCTCCCTAGGATAAGAGCCCACAAAGGAGCTGAGATTTTGACTTGCACCGTTAAGTGTCTTCTTCCTCTGCAGCCCGCCTCCGAGGCAGTTTGTGCAGGAGCGCGCGCGAACAGCTTCCGCCTGCGGTCTGGCTTGCCAAGTTAATACTGCAGTGCTTTTCCTCTCCCTCTGGAAGAAGTTCACAGGACTAAACTGCTGTGAGGTGGTGAAGGAAGTTGCAAATATCTATGACAGCATATTTCCGTATGCATTCTACACTGAAAGCAGATGGAAAAAATAAGAATTTAGAGGAAAAAAATTAAGAGTTCCCTGTGTTGTCAGAAGTGAAAAGAATGGCAATTCACAGAGCTTTTAAATCAGAGATTAATGATTAGACTGAAAGTCTACCTATTTCTGAAACGTGAGTCATCAGAGTACAATTTCTTGTGTCAAAAATCTAAGCTGGCACGGAATGAAGATGGAGTCGTTTAAAGGTGATGTGATAAATACTATCAGATGATCTGAACAAGTCATCTGTGGTATCCAGACAGCCTGGCATATTGACTTTTAGATAGTGTCAACAGTAAGATTCTTGGCTAAACTCAAAACATAATTTAAAAATATACTTTATTATAAAAATGTACAGCTATCCGTAACACTGTATTAAGCAATATTTTATATAACAGTCATTCAAGGAATGAGCCAGGTGTTTGCTGTCTTCCTTTCTTGGTCATGTCTTAACAGAACCAGATAATAGTACTTTATAACTAAATTAACCTAGGCTGATGGAATGACAGTGACTTCTCCCATATGTTAGCAAATTGTCAATTTCATAAGTGTCGTGTCAAAAGTCAGAATAACGCATAAGCACCGAAGTTGTTTGAGTAGTTAGAAATGAGAACTTGTAAGTTTTGTTTATTTTGGAAATCCGAAGGTATTATGTTCAAAATGAGAATATGTTATTTGAAGTACTGAACATTAAAATGAATGGTTGATTTTTATAAACATTGCAGGTGCACCACTTTGGGCAAGATTCATTCACAGAAAACACTGTAACAGTAAATTAAAATTACAATGGAAGGTCTATGTGGAGATTATACAGTTTTTCCAGCTAGTCTGGCATTGATAAACAGCCTGGAGCATTGTTTGTGAAATCTTATTCACTGAAAGCTTCCCATAAACTCACTGCTATCTACCTGTCCATGAACCCTTAAGTATGATAGATAATATAATACAGTATACCTTTTTTTTTTCAAAAGGGTAGAAAAAAATGACCAAGTTTCCACTGACTGGTTGTCAGCCTTTGAATCACCTGAATTTTATCCCTATCCTAAATTAGAAAGATGGATTTGTATAGTGTGATAGTTTATGGTCAAACGAAGGGGCAAAATCTGGCCTTTGACGTGAAGTTAATGTAATTATTTCCCAAAAACGCAGACAGCGCTAATGCCAGCTGGTTTTGGCAGCATTACTGCATTGTTCTTTCATCCCACAAAGGTCAGTTCTGCTGGCAGAAGTATTCAGGACGTGTGTGAATGACACTGAAGATTTGTCACTGCAAACATACTCGGGCTATGGGTGAATGGGACAGGAGCGCTGTCACTGCAGCCATGTCCTAGGATGCTCTAAAGCTCTACTCTTGGATGTCTCCAGAAAGCAACAACATTAGGGGTTGAGAAAACTCCTGTGTTGAGGATGATAGTCAGACATGGTTCCAGTCAAGTGAGAACAGATGTTGCAGCTGTCTGTGTACGTGCAGCCTTAATTTTTTGCCTTGTTGGATTTGGTAAGGACTCACACTGTTTTTGGCTATTTTAGCTCTGCCAGGAGCAGGTTTGCGGATATTGGCAGGTGTGAGCTTTATTGTTTGTGGTGTAGGGAGTCACTGAAATTAAGAGACTTTCTTGTATCAGCTTGATTGGTTTTGAATCAATGTTGTGGAATACATATCCTAAATAGCTTTTGCAAGCACTTACTGAACATAAAAGCCAGCATTTCCTTAGGGCTCACAGCATGGTCAGTCCAGCAAGCTGCTCTCATAAAAAGAGCTTCCCACCTTTTTTTATGTGCTAGTTTCACAGGCAAATGCTCCTTGTGCTCACATTTGATGCAAAGGGGAGGAAGTTTAAAGGCAGTTTAAATTCTGGTTATTTAACTTAGAATGTAGGTCTACTATATTTTGTCAGCTGAGAGCACAACCTAGCGGACGCTTATGCATGCTTCTAAGTTAAAACACAATTATTATTAGCTTAAGTACCGTTTCAGTTTACTCTGTTAACCTGTGAAAGGTTTGTGTGGATTGCATTGATGCTCAAGTGAGCTATGTATGACCTGCGCACCTGGTCATAGGTACATCATAGGTACCCGGCATAGCCACATTTGCACAGTATTGGCTGGTCTGGACTTAACTGGTTTATATGGGTGCAAGTTCCAAAATCTGCACTTCAGTCACTTCTGTTGCTGAGCTTTCTTTTCTCCGTCATACATACCTTCATTCTCCTTCATACCATATATGCCTTGGATCAAATTTAAATATTCTCTGCGTGGTTTTGTTTTACCCTGGATGTCCCAAACTACAATTAGTTCAGATATTTGTAAGTTAACTGTACACAGCTAAATTGAACACATGCTTAGTAAAATGTATATTCAATTTCTTTGAAACCAAAAAGTCTTAGCATACCCAAGTGCTCTGCTTATTTGTGGCTATTCAGGATTAGGCCCTGTTTGACATTTAAGATTTAAACACTAGACAAAAATAATAAAAACATAACTCGCTTTCTGTAGTGTACTTACTATATACATTCTCATGAAAAACTGAAATACAAGTTAAATACATACTTATTTTATTCCAGGCTATAGAGTAAGTGTATTTAGGCAGTTTTTCAAAGTGTATTGTACACTGCATGCACAGTAAATCAGTTTAATAGCTTGACTGTTTTACATTTTGTGTTCAAAGAACTGTACGATAGGCAATGAGATCACGTTATGGTCTGATTTGTTGTCCATTTGCACCATATCCATTTATTTGTAAAATTTTGGGAAGCCCAACCTGATAGATGAAATGTGTATAAGTCATTTTAATACGAGCATTTGCTCTGAGAAAGAAACTTCATAAAAATTACGTTCAATTTATAAATCTCTCCAAGCAGAGGATTTAAGACAGTAAATTTGGAACATGATTTCATTGCAGTATTACACTGAAAATTGGTGTAATATTTGTCAAAATGATGTAACAGTTTCCAAGTACAGATTTTGGAATCTTGTGATAGAAAGAAATCAAGATAGTATTTTAGAGCCCATACATTTAGTTTTAAGAGTGTGCTTGAAAGGATGATTGGTCTGTAATGACATCAGTTTCTTCCTATCTGAAGTATCTTATAAGGATAGCTCATAAGTAGCAGGTCACCATCAAATATAGAATCAAGAATATTTAAGTCTACACTTGTAAAGACTTATGCATGCAGTTTTGCCTCTTACATATTGTTTGGATGTGTGAATCAAATGTATTGTGCCTCGAACACCAACAAACTTGAAATTACACAATGCAAATATATACATATCTGATTCTGTATATGTTTAGTACCACAGTAAATGTAACTGTAATCAAATACTGGACATATGTAGGACCATAGTTAAACTCCAATTAAGAAAAGAAAGCATCTTTAAATTCATTTTTCTAACTATTTCACAGTAGAAGGAGGCAGTCCTTTCTCACTGAATTTCCCCCCCTCTCCTCAGGATCTGTAAACATCATAGCTATTATTCTGTCAGTATAATAATTAAATTTTTTATTCCTAATGGTAAATAGCTAACCAACATGAATAAAGTTGTCATAACACAATAACACTTTCAGACAAAACAGGTATTTATTAAAAGAAACATTTATAAATAGTTTGTCTTGCATTTTAAACTACATTTTCATAAATAACAATATTTAAAAGTGCTGAATATGGTAGGATAGTCAGCAACGCCACTGTAAACAGAACTGTTTTCCACTTTGCAGATTTTTTTAGATCCCATTTTGTCAAACACTACAACAGTTAAAATATTTGCATAGGGAATAGAGAATAGCCCTTTTAATCATCTCCTGAATTCTATATAAATTACAAAACCAAATGAGTTTAAGAAACAGTTTTTTAAATTGTTCATATATATCCAAAAAAAGCACACAGGTTTCAAGTAAAAAGAATGATTAAAAAAATTCCCCACACCTGCTATTTGAAGCATGTTCAATAAATTAAAAAAATGAGAGGTAGTAAAATAAAGGAAAAAAATAAGCCCCAGAAAATAAACTAAGACCTACATCCTGCCAGTTACTGTATAGAGGCAGAGCAGCCTCAGTACCACTGACTTCAACAAGAGCTGGCAGGAACTGCCTGCAAGGAGTAACTTGCTGGTTGGAGCCAAGTATGTTGGGGCTAGATTCCCCTCATTTACACATTTTTAAAACCATTCAACCCCATCAAAACCAATTGGGCCATGCCATATTTAGTCCTATGTAAGTGAGAAGAACCTTGCCTCTTAAGTCTTAGCATAAGACCAGAGTTGTCAGTATCAAATATATATACATACATACATACATATATATATTTAACTTGTCTCCAAAGTCGTCTTATGGCATATCTTTAACAGTTTTTGAGGGATGCTAGCACGCATTTTTCTTGTATATGATAGGTATGAAGATGGTTTTTTAAGTTCCAAGTTACTGTCTCTTTAAACATCAAAATGCATTCTAAAACTGGACATTTTTTGATAAAAAGGTCAAGCAAACACCTATTAAAAACACCTTGGCAGCAAAGGGATTTGAGTACTGTGCTGCCTCAGCTCTGATTAGGGGCTCAGTACAGGATTTTTTACCCAGGAAAGACACCTGTTGAGCTTCAGTAGGCATTTTACTTGGGTAAGGACTGTAGCTTTAGGAGCCCTTGAAGTTTGGTTTAATATTACTCTCCAAACCCCTTGCTTTCAAGGAGTTACTCAAAATCAATGAGGCTAGAAGCTGAGATGAGTCTTCATTAACCTGCCACCTCGTAAAACATTACTTTGTTTAAAAACATTTTTTACTGGATTTAGTTTTCAGAAAAAGAAAATCTTACAGGACAGATGCAATTCATCAACATGTTCTAAAATGCTCTAAAATGCTACATGTAGGCAACCTTTTATTAAACTTCTTTATTCAAAAAACTAAATTATCAAGCTTTTTTGTGATTTTTTTTTTTTTTTTTTGCTGAAGTACATAACATTATACAACAGTGTTAGAACTGGATAGCCAGTCTTTAATAAATCAGTTACAGTATCTGACATCTGAAATGTACATTGAAAATCTTTGTTCTTTTAACAATTAAACAATATCAGCGCATAGATTGTGTTACCCAGATACGGATCCCTTTAAGTGGTTTGTGCTTTTTTTTTCTCCTTTTCTCTTTTTTGACATTGCAAATTCTGTAATGAAAATGCCACAGTTTTGGCAGTGAGCAACCAGAGGAATCCCACACTTGATTTATTTTAAATAAACAGTGATAAATAGCTCTTTTTTTCTGTACAGAAATATTGGCTTCAAAAAGTCAGTGTATTGTACTCAGTAGAGCATGTTGAATAATGCTACACCTTAAAAATTGGCTTTTTCAGTTAGTGATGTTAAAAAATGCAAGCCTCTTTCTGGTTTGCTGCAATTGTATGTACCATAAGACTGTATTGCACAAAAAAAGTTCTTAAATACAGATATAACTTATGTTATTGGATTAAATATTGCAACAACTACGTGGTAAGTGAAGCAGTTTTACCTTGCACATGCAGTGTGAGAATACACAAGGAGACTGTTCATAAAACTACAAATACATCATTGCAATCTTGACTGCAGTTAGGTGAAAGGAGTGTGAAACAAATGTATTTTGGCAAATCCATTGTTCCTCTCCCCTGCCATCTCAAGCAAGGAGGACCTTGGTAAAAATGTAGACAGAGACCATAATATGTATTTGTTTTCTTCACAGTAGCCTGAGTAGTGCTAAACTGTAGTTCTCCAGGAACTCAGCTCCAGATGTTATTAAACTACTTTTCTTCCACCCCGCCCACCCAAAAAAACCCAGGTTATTTTATTTGAAAATTAAAACTAAGTTTCAGAAGTGGAGCCTGTAATATTTTCAACAAGAGACTTATAAATCTGAGAGTTCAAAAACCTTGGAAAAGAGTCTCTGTGCATGAGGGTGTATATCTGGAGCTGAGCGTCTTCATACATATGAGGACTGGGATCCAACAAGTTTCTGTTGATCACTTCTCTCACTCGGGAATCAAGACTAACCTGAAGAAGATGAGAACAGACTAATGTTAAGCAGTAATATTGGAAAAGCTGTATACATACATTTATCTCATGGGGTTTCACAGAGCGTGAAGAGTTTTTCACTTTCTTTATTCAGGTTATGTTCTGTGCTTCTTTCAGAGCCACTACTCCAAACAGCATACACAAAATTACAGGCTGAGCCTGTCACCTCTAGTTTGGTTTTGGCTTGGTCACTCTGTTCGTCTTAAGCTCTCTAAGATGAAATGTGCTATATAACAGAATAAATACAGTGCAACTAAGTAGAGCTCTGAAGTAACCTGGATTTCCCAAAATATAACATAAAATGGTTTACTTTTTACATACATACTATTTAAATATTTCTCCCAGGCGCATTTTGAATGAATCTCACTCAACAAGGTGAAATGTTTTTTTCTGATCATTTGCGGCTAACTTTTTGATGCTTTCTATTCTGCATTCTCATTTTGTTGTCCTACAGATTTTTTTTTTCATTTTTTTCAGACACTGCACTTATTACTCACAAATTACCCAAAGTTTGTTGCTTTTGTGTTAACATTAATAATAAGTATCTCAGATTTGTTCTTCCTTGTAAAACCTTTTAGCATCTAGCATCCATTTTAGCATCTGATTCTTTCAGGATATTATATGTTCATATTGAAGTTGGTAGCAAGTTTACAAGTTTCCGTTTTAGCTTCTGCTTTTATTTTCCATCTGTAGTTAATTCTTGCACCTAGGCAGAAAAGGGCATATTACACTGGGGATGAATGCTGAAGTTATTTTAGGATATCGTTTGGAAGCTTCAGTGTACAGCTTATGCACAAAATGCTCCAAAAATAATAAAATTAATACCTCCTAGATTACGCAAAAAGGCAGTAAAACAGAGAAAGCCCACTGGAGCCAGCAAGAAGTTACACAGCTAGGATAAAGAGGCTAAAATACCGAAATCGGAACTACCAAGCAAAATGGCTGGCACAGACCAGTTATGCTATGGTCATTTAGCACAGATTACAATCTGGCCCCATAAATCTGCAGCTATATTAATGGGTAGTCATCTTGTCTGAAGGACTGTGTTCGGTTCTGGAAAACTCCACATACCAAGATACCTTGATATGTGAAGGACTCTAGTAAAAATGGTTAAATATTGAAAATTCAGAACGTGCATGGATGTGTGAGCTCATCTATTTGTATATGTGGTGAAACAAAGTCTTTGAAATATAGTCGTACGGTATAGTATTGAGGACTCCACATACATTTTCATAATATCTTCAGTACCAAATACAGAATCTAGCATTTTTAGTTTTGTGGCATATTTGTGTATGTTACTGTCATAACGGGCAAGCTCTTTCTCCTCAGACAGTCACACTGCTCCTTAGTTATCAGCCGCAAGACACAGTTACGATGCCAGCTAACTACAAATACAGGCTGTCTGTTTATGCTAGCAAATTTTACCTGTCACTCTGTTCACTCTGCAGAATGCCCAATATGTCTGTTTAATGCACGCTCTTCATCTAAATGCTGATTGGAAGGGCTGCGTGCTGCACCACAGGAGATGAGGCACGTCCATGGTGGCCTCGGTGCCGCACCGGCAGTGGTGCCGCTCCAGTGGTGTGAGCAGCCTCCGCTCCTTTCCCCAGACACGTGCTCCTACCCACGCAGCCCCCCTCCCTCCCACAGCTGTCTGTGCAGGCCTACAGCTAGCTGAATTAACGAATCGATCCATCTGAAAGTGGCATTTTTTTCTGGGCTATTTTTCAACGCAGTCCTTTTTCAGATTGAATGAGTTGTATAACTGGCATAACTGAACTAGCCCACTGGACTGCACAGCAGTAATGAACTCATGCACTCTGCCAATGCCTAACTGCTTTTAGACACAACAGCATGCAGAGGTATAGTATTCTGGTAGTTTTGAGAAGCAGTGGTGCAGCCATGTGCTTTAGGAATTTATTTGAATAGATTTCAACCCTAGACCATTGCATATCTGTAGGATAAAAATGACACATTGAGATTTAATCAATTCCCCCCCACCCACACACACACATGTACACACACACAGAGGTACATATCTTAGCAAAACCAATCTATGCAGCTAGCTAATTTGCCCTTTGTTATCAAATGTAATGACAAATTTGTAAGGATCTTTTTTGCCATTGAATATAGTGAAAGTCAATTGGAGTTACAGACTCAAAAGTAATTAATTAGAGATTTATTAATTCACACTGTAGTTTTTCAGTGACTCAGTAAAGCAAGCTGGCAAAGTGAGTTGCAATCATTAAAGATATCTGGTTGGTAAACAGAAGTATTTGAGGTATTTGGTTGATATACTAAGGCTTTCTGCCTCAGTAACTTCACCGAGCAATTGAAGCTAAATGTTTCAGCTCTTATGCCAAAAGATAACATATGGAATGGGGTGCTGGGATGAACAAGAACTTTCAGCTCATGTGCTCATGTAAAGACTTGCAAACAGTTCTCGTTTGCCTCATGAGATCTCCACTGAGCGCCGGAGCCACTGAATTAATGACACCCACACACATCCAGTGCAATAAATTTGTGAGTAATTTTGTTAAACACTAAGCCAAACTTTTGTGTGTGTTATAATTTTAGTTGCTGGTTCATGCTGGGTTAGAGAGGTGACTGAGCATTTAGGACATATAAGTGTACTAAAGATACATATATACTGTAGGAAATGCACATTATTAGCTTGCTGTACTGGCAGTTATCTCCAAAACAGTATACACTATGGCACTAAAGAAGATAATGGAGTTATAAATTGCCTCTGGCTTCGTTCATGTAAATGAATTTGCAAATTAGTACAAAAAGCAATGGAGAGTTAAAATGTAGAAGGCCAGATCCACAGTGAACATAAATACCAGTAGTATAACACCATTAAGTAGAAGGTATGATGCAATGCACAGAGACAAGGAAAAGGATCCTAAAGTACTTGACGTGGCCTAAGAAAGCTTCTTCTATCTATTCCAGAATATAATACCAGTAGTATAACACCATTAAGTAGAAGGTATGATGCAATGCACAGAGACAAGGAAAAGGATCCTAAAGTACTTGACGTGGCCTAAGAAAGCTTCTTCTATCTATTCCAGAATATGATTTGATAGGTAATACTTTTTTTTTATTTTTTTTTTATTCACTCCGAGTGAAGGTCATTCCAGAACTTCTCTATTTCAGTTTAAGGACTGAAGAAAATTTTACCTCATTTCCTAGAGGTTATCATACCTTTCATAAGAGAAAAGATCTGATTTCAATTCCTGAACTAGTTAATCTTTCATAGGAATAACCAGTGCAAATTCTGCTTTGCTCCCAGGCAGCAGTTGCAGCAAATCAATCTATAATGATTTTGATTCAAATTATTTTACATTGTACAACCCATAAACTGTGAGCGTGTTCGAAGGTTTGTTTCCTGTGAAATGTCATTCGTATGATATTTCATATGATGTTGAAAATTTTGGTGCCATTTCTCTGAAAGTCCATTTCCCTCACTTACTACCTGTCTTTGGCAGGTACGTTCCACTACTAAATAAGTATGCCCTTTTCCATCCCTTCCGATCCTGGAGTTTCTCTTTTATCTCTCTTACATAGCGCTTTGAGGAGTTGGGGCCAGGGAAGCTAAGTGGCTCAGTACCTGTTTCAACACTTTTTCTGTCCCTTTCTTTTCTGGTTTAACCTTCCATATGAAGAATTGCTCTCATCTGACACATCAGACTTTATATCCCCCATCGGGCAATCCAGGTAATGACATTTCTGCTCTAGAATACCAGAAAGTGCAATTGTAATATTTTCAGCTTTACCTCTTTTGGTGAAAGTATAGAAATGTAATCTTCATATATAAGTCTTGCTTTTTCTTCAATAACTTTCTTGTTCTGTTCTTTCTTTAGATCTTCACATGCGAGCCAGAAGAGCAGGTTCTCTTCACTGTACTCTGTTCGAAGAAACTCTCTAAAAAGGTTCCTCCCAGCTGGTGTTTTCATCATCTTGTCAAAATTCTGAGCCCAAGACAAAATTTCATCTGCAGTAGGGTTTTGGCTGCGAAAGCAAAGTATCATTACAAATATGCTTCTATTTTTGTAACAATGTTTTCATACATTTGGCCAAAAATTCTTTCAATTGCACTTTAGTCCCGAGTGAAAATGGGAAGCAACGGGGCTTCAGCAGTGACAGGAGAATTTTGTTCACTCTTCGCTCATGCATTTTTTATCCCAGTAGTCAACTAAATGTGTTTAATACTACGAGACACACACTTGGCTTTCTACAAATTTTCTACTAGTATTGTTAGTCACCGGACTCGATGAGAAACCCAACAAGAGAATTTAATTGCAGCTTCTGCAGTTAAAGGAGATGAGATTTTAGGAAGCTGACAGTAGATTCTTTTTTATGATGGGTTTAGATGACACCTGATGTCATTACTTGCTTCTAATGGTGTTTGGCCAATCACTGGCTGCCACATGATTTAATTCAGCACGGACAAGAAAAACGAAAAGGCTCTTGGCAGCCAAGAGCATACTAATGAGGCCAAACAAAATACTAATTCAGAGAGCTTTTAAATTAGCATATTCACTGTGCTTGTACCTAGGGGTTGCTAAGCTTCTCTCTGTTTGGTGCTGTTGACCTGAACGATGATCTGTTGGCCCAAGATGCGATGGATGCTGCTGGCAAAACTGGAAAGACAAGAAATTGGGAAAAAATCCCTATTCCCATTTTCTGAAGGAAGCTACTCCTGGCTTGTAACAGTGGATGCACCAGATAAATGATCAAAAGACTGCCTTGCTTCAACAATCCATTAATGTACAAATGAATAGCATAAGAAGGTGATACTCCAGCTTATTTCACAACAATTAAACGTGGTTTCAAACTTAATAATGGGTGCTCATCCTCTCCTTCCTGACAGGCTCCGACACAACAGCTTTACTAGCTTTAGTCAAAAAACTCTGTGTAATCATTTTGCACAATAATTGATATTTGGCCGTGTGATTTCTCTTCAAGATCATTTATCATCTTCTACTTTGCATGCAAGGCAGACTGAATGACAAGCAGCTATTTGTGACAATGCTTTGGTAGACCGAAAATCTAATAAATGAGGAAGTGTTTAATATTTAAACTATCCTGAGCAAAATAATTACAATCTGAATCAAACAGTACAAGCATACAGATTTGAAGGTGAACAGGTCTCTCTCTGAGGAGATTGAAAAGAACCTGCTGGAAGTGGATGGAGCTGACAAGCAAACTGTGATCCCTGGTTGTCTACTGGGAAATTCTTTTTAATACAGTAAAATGTAGATAAAAAAGATATAGAATGAAGCCATTTGGAGAGAGTTTCATCTATTAAGATCTTTTACAACTGTAAGATATATCATTTCATTAAAAATTAATTTCCTGCTTGTATTCCCTAAATACTAGTTTCCTGAGGAGATTTGTGAAAAATAGTTCTATGTTACACAGCTAATGATTTTCAGGAGAGAATCAGGGGCAGAACCTCAGATTTGATAAACTGAGAGTCGTTTCTGTCTAAATAACTCATCTTGATGTTAGGAAATAGAAGGAGAACCACTCCTCCCTCATTCAAAGTCTTGGATACAGCAAACACCAAAGCTAGCCTAAATACCTCTCTGGAGTAGTGTCTAAATATTGCTTGTTCCCAGGTATATAGAAGAAGAGGTAGATACTTAAAGAGGACATTAGAAAGGCTAACCTTAAGTGATGGATGTTAACGCCTGTAAGTTCCACTAACAGTGAATGGAAAAAGATTTCTCCATGGGCTAACTTCAGTGCTCTGAGTCACACTATGGAGGTATTAGTCTCTCCATTGCATTACAGAAGAATCGTAGGTTAGACAGGATACAGTTAGACAGAAATAGAAGCCCAGAATTTAAGTATGTGTAAGTTGGTCTTTCAAGGTATGCGCTTCCTGTGTTACTTTAGCCAAAGTCATGGTCCAGGCTATTTTACAAAAAAGTGGCCATGCTAAAAATACGACTGTGAAGTACACATTTGCCCAGGTCAATTTTTCTTCTTGGCTGGGTAAACAGAAGAAAATGACTTCAGAGTTAGCGGAAATTTCGTACAGAGATCCATAGATTTACGGAACCACTCATACATCTTCCATCCGTCCCTCCTATTCCTTCCGCATAAACAAGCAGCTGTAAGTAAACCTGGCTCATGAATGTCTCCATTGGCATTCTGTTACCGGGCCAGATTTTCTTCCTTTTGTATAGAAATTTTAGAAGGAAGAGTCCTTAAAAGGCCATTCCAGAATAAATCTTGACATTACTTATAGGTAAATTAAAAACATATTTACTGGAAGATGATTTGAGAAACTTACCATTCTTCTATGACTTGGATACTCTCCATTTTGGTCGTGTGTGTTGGCCTTCCTGCACTGTCTCCTCTATCTTCATTCCTAACAGTGAGGCTGCAATGTAGTACAACACTTTATTTTGTCTAGAGAAAGTTAATTTAAAACAATGACTACAGTAATGTAAGCTTTTAAAAGTTATAAACCGATGTAAGGTGTCATTTTTCACTATTGCCTCTAAAATCTAGACCTACGGGTTGGAGAGAAGTTTTTGATAAAATTTTTTTCCCTTAATTTAAGTGAATATTAATTAGCAGATGCTGTTAGTATGTATAATTTTTTTTACAAGTTCATAGCTTATCCACTAACAGACTGACACAAAGTTCGATGTCACTTTTGGAGTGATTTCCCTTAGTAAATTGAAAATAATATTAGTAACAAATAAGGGTAGGTAGGATAAGAATATCTGAATTAGACATTGAGGAGGTTTGGTGTCTGGCCAGTTCTGGATGTTTGTTCATTCTTTTATGAATACTCTGTTTTTTATATCCTAGATAAGATAGCAGTATATGGCTTAGATAAAAACTTAGCATGTTGCAGCTCCGTGTCATTTCCTCCTTTAACCCAAATTTGGTTTTTCATTCCAATAAATAAAACTCATTGGCTTTTCAATAGAAAGTCTTCCATTGCCTTCATATTACCAGAAGCAAGAAAAGAAAGACTTCCTTTACGCAAGGATCTATTTTTTGCTTCTCTTTTCAGCTGGTAACTAGCATCGGTTATTTTTCTGTAAATGCCTTTTTAATTGGGTTTCCTTTACTGGTAGCTGTTTTGTCTCTGTGGGTCTCTCTATGAATGCTCTAGAACACGATATTACCAGAAAAAACATTTACAGAAACACAGTTCCTGATAACTACTGAAAAACAGCACACTTTGACACTATGACATAAGGATTTGTATAGGAAACCTGGTTACAATAATTAAGCTTAAGCAGCGGAACACCTTAAGGAAATGGAGATTTCCCTTCATCAGATGTTCCCTACATGTCCAATGGGGAGAAAAGAAGCAAACAAGCAAAACCCCCTCCTCTCCCCCAATCCCAACAAAGCTTATATTTTGTATATTAAGTAGTCATCACATACTGATACTCTCAACCATCCAAAGAGGAGATATACAAAAACACGTCGATAACATAAAGCTGAGTACCTTCTACTTAGCTCTGAAAAAAACCCCAGTTTTGAGGCATTGTTAGCAGAAATAACCTTTTCTTCTAGCCCCTCTCCATTTATGAATTTTAGTGACATTTTTTCTTGCGTTTGGCAGAGTTAGTAGGTGATCTCAGATACACTTTTGAAAATTGACAGTTTAAGCTCCCAAGCAAGGCAGAGCACATATTCAGACTTAAACATTACAAAGACATACACGTTCAAACAAAGCTGTTTGATACTGGTTGCTCCTTGACTTACCTGCCAAGACCTTAGTTCAGGCCCTTGGTCCTGCTTCCCCTGTTACAGCGTAGGAAAGCAGCTCCAGTGCTGCTAAGGTGTTAGGCTGCCATCAACCGCTGCAGGAGAAACAACACATCCTGAACTCTGGGGTTGGCAGGTAAAAAGCCTTTCCGTCTCCTTTGGCCTGTTGCTTGTCAGTCTATAGAGGGAGCACCCACCAAAACCAATGGGAGTTCCATATATAGAAGGAGGGAAAAAAAGGGACCGTCCACTTTCTGTCTTGTAATCTTTAAGTCCACACATGTAACTGCTCAGGGTCACTTTGCAACTGGTTGAAGCACAAAGCTAGGGTGAGGGAGAAAGGGGGATACACAAAACTTCTCTCCCTCCCTGCACTGCAGCCCTTACATAGGACAGCATTCGTGTCCCCTGCTGGATACAGAGAGTTGAATGTCCTTTTGTTCCTTGGAAAAGTAGCAGAATGGAAGGAGAAAACAGCTTGTGCAGGTCGGCAATGTGAAAGGATGTTCACTGAAGGCACAGTCCTTCCACCAGAAAATGAAACCGCCACGTGCGCAGCAGCTAAACTATATTGAGATAATTTACTTAACTGGACAGTAGAATTCTTCCGAGCTTTGGATGCAGATCCTCATTGGAAGTAGAAGGTGATTCGTCTGCGAGCGGATAAACTATGCTGTTTATTTAATTTGATGTCTGGGGTCAAATATTGTTTGTTTTGCTCATGCAAAATCTCTACTGAACTTAGGAAAACCAGTATTGGCTGAAGAAGATAGAATCCAAGTACTGAATGATGAGTAAAAGAAATAGGAAAAATGACAAGAAAGCCATGTTGACTTCGTTTCATTTTTGTATCAAACCAGTAATAGATTGGGCCTATGCACTTTGATTTTCTTCCAGACTGCATTGTGGTGGAAGGTTCTCACAGTGGCCCCCGAATGCAGTGTACAGTTTTCTGCTATTTATACCAGTGTGACAATGCGACCTACATCGCTGGCCCTAATTCCTTCATTTCACCATTCATAGTTCAAGTTCAATAGCTGAAAGTTAGTTAGCTTTGCAAAACAGGGAAGACGCTAAAGAAGTTTTGTACCTGACTTGAATGATTTCTCAAGTTTGGGTACTGTAGCTAGAGCTGTGCTAAATTTATAACACAGCTTGGCCTAAATTCTGAATTATATTTCCAGTGGCAAACAATAGCAGTATATTTCAACTTTTATTTATCTACATCTGTCAAAGACTGGAGTTCCATCGGATACATTACTTTTGATATGTTTTTCCTGTGAAGGAAACCATCACATTTATACAGAAGTACATTCAGATCAGACATGGTTCTGTTTTTACTCAGGGAATTGGTTCATGTTTGCTTAGAAAAAAATTAAATATTTACACATTTGTGACTGCAAAGCTAATTTGAAAGCAGCCTTTAAATAACTCTGATCACAGTAACAGATTGCTACCTTTTACATCAAAAGGACAACGTTGCATTGCTATTTGCTGTGTTGCTCTCTTCAGTTGAAAACACCCTATCAGTTCACATTTCTTCGTGGAATTTAAGCAGTCCACAGTGGCAAAAGCACCTTGCATTCCTTGAGTTAATATCCTTGATGCGTTATTCCATCTTGGAAGCTAGTTTATTATGTCAGAAGAATTATGCTGTATGGTATAAAACTAACCAGAGCAGCAGTAGCAGGATAAAAATCAGCTAAATAATCTTACTTGTTTCAGCTGCTAGGATGAGGAAAGCCGCTAAGATTTGCCTTATCGAGAAGCAGTTATATAAAAATGAGGTGTTCTAGAGAGACAACTGATGTAAATTAACATATATGATACCATTATTATTTATTAGCTAAAGTACATCTAGCTCATATCTTTAAAATTCAAAGATATAAAATATCCATGATGAAATTGTAACTAAGCTAATCATACCTTGAAAAGGGGGAGTCTGGGATGTCTAAAGGCAGAGCTTAAGTGGAAAGCACAAGCAGTAGGTTGTGTTTCTGTTCCTTTAGAAGGTTTTTTCTCCTCATTTTTATGCTCATTTAATTGCTCCAGAGAATATGATAAAAAGTACTTCAGTAAGCCCCAGTGGCTTGACCTTGATGTGGATTTCAAATTCTGACTTCTACAAAAACAACAGCTATTTTAACTACTGCAGCTGCTGTTATTAAGAGTAATTAGTTTTCTGTTTAGAACTTTGGGAACTTTAAAGTAAAAACCTTAATGACCAGGGACTGCTAGAAGTATACAAATTAAAACAAGTCAACTAGACATAAAGCTAAATTGGTCCATGTTCCTTGCTGATGTGTTTTTGGAGGAACCACTGGGATTCAGAAGAGAGTGTTTACTTATTTAGCTACAATTATTCAGCTGTTAATATTCATACTCAGCAATTAAATAGTTGTTCTGCTGAGTAACTATTTTGCTAAGTCAGTATTGCAGCCACTGCTGCACGGTAAGGCAAAAAGGCCAAGCTAATTGGAGAGAATCATCAAGAGAGTTGGAGTAATTTAAGAGCAGAAGTCTCAAAGAACAATTATATGATTTTCCTGAAGAGGGGAACGTGGTTTCAAAAACTCTGAGACAAAGATGGGATCCAACCCTAGATCTTCCACCTGCTGGATAAATATCTTAAGTCCTCAGTACAAAGTGCTTGTGTCCCTCCCGCCTTTCACTTTTATTGTAAATGTCTAAAATAAAACATTCCATATGAGCACAAACATTTTTCCTGTTTTTAATTTGGATGCAGAAAAAAGTACATGCCAGCATTGCCTTTCACTTTCATTTCAGAGCAGTCTGAACAGATTTTTTTCAGTTTGACAATCAGTCACTGAAAAATCAGTTCTTTGCTCAGCTCTGCTCACAAGTGACTCCTACACTCTGAGGAAGGCTTTGGTAGAAGTCAGAGATTAATATGGTCCTGTGATGCTGTATGCTACTTCACAGACAATTATACTGACATTTTTAAATTTATTCTGTGAAATAGAAAATAACATTCTTTTCTGTTACCTTGTTTTTCTGACAGCCAGAAGATTTGAGCTTGAAGTCAGTGAAGACTGGGCAGGGTTGTGTTTATTTATGAACAGAGAAGCATGATGATTTTGCTATATTATATAAAATAATAATAATGAAAAATAACTGCATTGTGCATTATGATCCATTCATAAAGAACAACACAGCTATGTTATTCTCAAAGCCACTTAGACAGAGTCTGGTCAATAATGCTATCTTCCATCTCCCATTTAACTTTGCAAAAATTATGCATCCATCAGAATGAAATTTTACATGAGCAATATTATCCAAGGATGATTTTTCCTTTTTTTTTTTTTAGTATAAATAAAGGATAAAAAATGCTAATATCCAAGTTGGGAAAGAAGTTTATTTTCATTACAATAAGTAAATAATGTCCAGAATAATTATTTTGAGAAAAACTTCAGCTAAAGTTTATTATTTTCTTATGAAGAAGTAATGCCTTGCTCTAGTCATTTTCATGGCTTAGGTATGCTTGCATAATATCCTGCATGCCACTGGAAATGGTCCATCAGCATCATGTCTTGTGGTCTCTTATCTCTGATATCTGAGAATTTAAAACTAAGCTATCCTCCTCTGAGTAAGAATAGCAAGGTAGGATAAAGCATTTTCACTGCTGTA